CAGTGGTTAAGAATCCGCCTGCCATGCAGGGGACACGGGTTCAAGCCCTGGTCCAGGAAGATCCCACATGCTGCGGAGCAACTAAGCCCATGCGCCACAACTACTGAGCCTGCACTCTAGAGCCCACAAGCCACAACTACTGAGCCCACGTGCCACAACTACTGAAGCCCGCGCGCCTAGAGCCCATGCTCCGCAACAAGAGAAGCCACCGCAATGAGAACCCCACGCACCGCAACAAAGAGTAGCCCCCTCTCGCCGCAACTAGGGAAAGCCCACGTGCAGCAACGAAGACCCAATGCAGCCATAAATAAATAAATAAATAAAATTTTTAAAAAGAGTAGGTACCTTCTCAATGCTTAGAATTCTCTATGAAACAACCTAAAGTCACTTTAACTGTCCATTTCAATTACATATATTCAATAATAGCTGAATCTGCATATGCTACATTTGAGCATGATGTGACTCTACTCCCAATCACTAATCTAGTACAGCATAGGTAGAAAAACTGCAAATCAGGTAAAACAGGTAAATCATGATAATTCAGCCAAGTTTTAGAGTGCACATACAGGGTTTCTCACCAAACAATGTAAGAGAATGAAGTTAAGGTTCAGACCAATTATTCTCAGTGGGAATGGGGTGGTGGTGGTGATAGTGATGGTGGTGCAGATCACTAGGAGATAGATCAGAATCTCGGCAGTTACACAAATGTAATTTAAAAACAAAGCAGTATTGTATCCCTTTGTTGTTTCAATGTAGCATTTATTTTGAAATTTCAAATACCATTAAGGAGACTCTTAAGTGGTTCATGTTTGTCAAAGAGGATTAAAAAGTTTGAGAAACATCCTTCTAATTTTATTGAGAACATACAACGTAAAGAAGGTACCATTTATAAATTCTGTGTTCCTAAAGCAGTGTTAAATGTTTTCTACACTGCAGCTTAGGGCATAACACAGGTTTCTACTGGCCCCCCGACCCTGTTCCCAGCTGTGCACATCTTCATTCTCTTCTCCAGAAGAAAGGGATCCACGGTAGTGGCTTGGCTGACAAGAAGAGAATCCAAACTGACATCCTACAACAGAAAGGCAGCTCCTAAAGCTGTCTGCTGGGTTCTCACAAGTCCTTCTCCTTTAGGTTAAGACAACAGTTATTAGCCAAAAGGAGAATGCCAGTTCACTTGACTGGGCACACCAAAGCTAAGCTCTAGTTCAACTAGCACGATCCAGACTCCATCCAGGACACCTCGACTAGGACTGACCATTCTCCCCAATCCTCTTCCCCCAGACCTTGATAGAGACCGTAATTCCATCCTCACTTTAAATGTAGATAACAGGGGAAAAAAGTTATTACCGAACCAAACTGGTAGCTTTACACTTTAAAACTGAATACACAAACACAACCTATAAAAGTATATATAAATTTAACATAAGCAAAGGCAGTGTACTCATGGATCTCTGAAGGAAAAAGCCTCATGGTGAACACGCACTGCACTGTACTGGGATTAACACATAGTACAAAATCCTTCTCTATAAACACTTAAAAGTAAGTAAACAGGTTATATACTCACTGAAAGAAAAAATTGCAAATACCTGGTATGTTTCCACAGGCCTGTTTTCCATATTTAAGTCCCAAATTTTGACTGACAAATAGTCTCTAGTCATCATATATCGACCACTATGGCTGAATTTTACATCAGAAATTGAAGAGATGATTTCAGAAAAAAAAGACCTGTTACTCGGATCTTCAGGTTCTTCAAACACTAAAAACAAGCAAAATAGGAGGGCTGAGGGTAATTTGTAAATATTCTGGCTTGGACAAAGCATTCACTCAAAACACCATTCATCAACTTCCTAAGAGTGAGCTAAAAATGGCAGGGTAATAAAGAACCGAAAAACATCTCTCTGGCTATAAGAACATACCCTCCCTGAGAGTTTCTTAAGAGAATGAGAGTGACTTAGTACTGAAGTTGAAGATGCAAAAGGACGTATGTAGCACAGCACCTTCCAGAGTCATTTGGCTAATTCAGCAGAACCAGACTCACTCAAGATGTCTGACTTCAGTGCACCAATCTGAGGTCCTGCATATACCTCACTGACTTTGCCTGTACTGTCACCATGAGAAACACACCATCCTCACCATTCCAACTCATACCCGCATTTTATTTTTTTAGTGGCCTGGTAAAATTATTTTGATAAGCAGCATGTACCAATCTTAATGAGTTTTTAAAATCTTCAACAACTTGAAGATAAGAATAATGCAATCCTTTAATTTTTTTAACCTGGTACTTTTCAAACTTGTTTAAGCCAAAGAAACCCCATCTCAGAAGAAATCTTCCTAGGAAGCTCAAAACATAAAGGAAGAAAGGAAGGGAGGGAACAAAAGAGAGAAGGGAGGCAGGGAAGAAAGGAACTGCTCTACTTGAATACACGACTGGAGAACCCAACTCAAGTTCCCAAGGAATAGCATTCCATTAAAAATACATCCACTGGGACTCAACAGACATGCCCCCAAGACAGCCTTCTATGCTCTTCCAGTAGAATAACCTATAATCCCTCATGTCGAGTCAGACAGCTTACCAAAGGGAACAGGAGGTTTAAGACTTGTAAACCTATGTAAATGTAGTTACCATGTCTGAGGACAAACAGAAAATGTTATCATTTGAAAACAAGATGCAATAAACTTACGTTTAGAATGCCTATCACAGAGGGCGGATGCCCTCATGTCACATAACCGAATAGTTCCTTTACTGCTGCTGTATACAAATGTGTTACAACTGTTTGGATGGAATTCCGCTGCTGTAATCACCTCTGTCAGCTCCTCCATATTGGCAGGCTTGATATCCACAATATCTGGACAGCATTTTATTAAGGAATTTCCACTTAGAAAAAAGGTCAAGCATAATTTTATGGTTTTCAAATCTAAAATTCATTCATAGACTTAAGCACAACTATTAATTCTAAACTGCATATTACTACTTACATGAGTATAAATCCCAGAGGGATCAAAACTCTTAATGCTTGAAAAAAAGTCTGAGACGAAAACACGGGTGAATTTTAAATCACCTTAGAATGTAGAGGTCTTTTTTTTCTGAGTATGATACAAACCCCAGAAGCCATAAGAAAAAGACTGACACACCATCTTCCTAAATATTAAGAACTTAGTGTACACTCCAAACAAAACAAAAGGAAAAATCTGTACAGCGGCAAAAAAGGGAAACTGTTCACACACAAACAATGGAGCTGATTTACTTGATGTCGAAAAGGTGCTTTAAAAACAAAGAAATTCCAATAAGAATATAGGCAAATCCAACGAAAAAATATGGAAAAGAACAAAAAGAAATATAAGTGGTTGATAAATATGAAAACATGCTCAAATCTACTCAGGATGAAAGAAGTGAATCAAAACGAGAAGTTTTCACTAACTAGACTGCTAAAGGTATAGGAAAACAGGCTCTTTTATACACTATAAACATACCTCATTTCATTGTGCTTCGCTTTTATTGAGCTTCACAGATACTGCATTTTTTTTTTAATTGAAGTTTTGTAGCAACCCTGCATCTAGCAAGTCTATCAGCGCCATTTTTCCAACTGCATTTGCTCACTTTGTGTCTCTGTCACATTTTGGTTATTATCACAATATTTCAAACTTTTACATTATTATTACATTTGTTATGGTGATCTGTGATCTTTGATGTCACTATTGTAATTGTTTTGGGGTGCCATGAACTGTGCCCACAAGATGGTGAATTTAGTCAATTGTTGAAAGGACAACCAAGGGCTTAGAACATTACATAAACTTAGTTGATAAAGCAGCAGCAAGGTTTGAGGGTACTGACTCCAGTTCTGAAGGGAAGTTCTACTGTGGGTGAAATGCTGTCAAAACAGCACCGCAGACTACAGAGAAATCATTCATGAAAGGAAGAGTCAAAACTGACGTGGCAAACTTCGCTGTTGTCTTATTTCAAAGAAGTTGCCACAGCTCCTCCACCCTTCAGCAGCCACCACTACAGGTATGCCTGTATTGGTAGAGTATGGAAAATAGTAGAGTGTTAATTTTTCAAATGATACCTATTTGGAAAGACATATATTAATACTAGTTATAATAACTAACATTTATCAAGAACTTAAAAACAAACATATACATTTCTATATTTATATGTATATAGTATATGTGTGTGTATGTATCTCATATATCACACACTTGTATATGCACAGAAAAATTTCAGGAGGATAACATAAACAATGAAAATGAGGTTTGGGAAAGTATTTATACTGCCATGCATCATGACTTGTATGAATTTCTTTTTCCAATCTTATTTTTATAATTAAAAACATTTTTTAAGAATAATACTCCAGGCCTTCCCTGGTGGCGCAGTGGTTGAGAGTCCGCCTGCCAATGCAGGGGACACGGGTTCATGCCCCGGTCCGGGAAGATCCCACATGCCGCGGAGCGGCTGGGCCCGTGAGCCATGGCCGCTGAGCCTGCGCTCCGCAACGGGAGAGGCCACAACAGTGAAAGGCCCACGTACTGCAAAAAAAAACAAAAAAAACAAAAAAGAATACTCCACATATTTGTTTCTGTTACAAGAAACAGCTATTTAAAAATTTTTCTATTTTCATAGGTACAAACAGATGAATTCCTTAAAATTCTAAGAATCTAATTTTTAAATTGATACATTATGCTTTTTATCAAATAACTTCAGCCAGTGTTTAATCACTTAAACACAAAGAAAAAATGGTATAAAGTAAGAAGCTACTGTAAAAAGAATCAAAACACACTAAGGAGAGATGAAAATAAATCCAGTATGGGCACAACATGCATTCTTTACCAAACACCAAAAAAAAGAAACCAAATGGATACTAAAACTCCTGTCTGTAATTTCCAGGTGCCAAAGATTAATCCGCAAATCATCTGCAGATAAATACGTTTCGTAATCACTATTAATAGAAATTGAGTTGATGTGATATGTATGAGCATTGGCAAATATTCGTCGTGGACTGGCCTCAACCATTAGATCCATGGGCCTAAAGACCGGCACCTGTCAACAAGACACATGAAAAACCGTTGATTACAAAATGTTTATTGTTTACAAAAGCACTGAAGGTCCAGAATACTTCATTACTCCAGTTTTTGAGGGAACATAAAACAGTATAATATTACACAGATTTAGTTTTATAAAGCAACTGATGTTTGCTTATTTAAAGTGTTAAAATGGGAAGAAAAATGAAAAATCTGGAAAATTTACCTTCTTTTACAGATAGCAGTACTATGAGAATTTGCAGTTTTTCCCAGTTTTAATCTTTTGCTTGAAAGACTTGCAACGCTAATAAATGTTTATAATTTAAAGTGGCTAAAAAGGAAATTAGCCCAAAGCATCTAATTCTTGGTATTTTTTTAATTGCACTAGAAGATTTAGTCCATTTCTACTTTTTTTGATCTCCAAAGAAAGTTAACCTTGAAACTTAACCTTCTAACAATCAAACCACAAGAGCAAAAGAGAGTATGGTGGCACAGTATAAAACACAGGCTTGTGCTGAGTCCTGGTTCAGCCCCTGACCACAGTGAAACCTCTCTGTAGATCAGGGTCTGTTTAAAATTTGAGTTATTAATGTTCTATCTGGTTACCGAATCTTGGGAAAGAGCAGACTGTAATTATTCCTATTGATGTTCTGCTGAGTATCTATAATATATAACAGGAATACAAAACGTTATTCATCAGAATTAGAACCTTTTTTTTTTTTTAATGTACTTACACGTAGTGTAGTGACTGTAGTAGGATCTCTATACCTTCCATCTTCCTCTTTCAAGTTATACCCTTCTGGTCTTTTGTCCCTTTCACTGATTTTCCATAATTTTATTGTTTTATCTGGGGAGAAAATAAAGAAAGTCCTCAAAAAAAAGATTAAAACTGATAGAAGAAGAACACTTTAAGATATATTTAAACACACCATTTCGTATCCCAAGAATAAAATCCGTGATCTGACTTAATAGAAAACAAATTTCCTACTACCAGATGACTAAAAACATCCATACACAGAAAAACAGTACAGAAATCGCACATTTATGTTAATGGCACTTGTAAAATTCCATTTGATATTAAAATCAAGTCACAGCCAGGTCCTTATCCTTCAAAAATAATTAAACCTAAAGGGAAAAAATTGTATATTTATGTACATATAAACACATATATGTCTATACATATATACAAACATATACATATATAATGCTTAATATTTAATTTTGCCAGGAGATGGAAATAACCTAAGTGTCCATCATCGGATGAATGGATAAAGAAGATGTGGCACATATATACAATGGAATATTACTCAGCCATAAACAGAAACGAAATTGAGCTATTTGTAATGAAGTGGATGGACCTAGAGTCTGTCATACAGAGTGAAGTAAGTCATAAAGAGAAAGACAGGGGCTTCCCTGGTGGCACAGTGGTTGAGAATCTGCCTGCCGATGCAGGCTCAGTGGCCATGGCTCATGGGCCCAGCCGCTCCACGGCATGTGGGATCTTCCCAGACCGGGGCATGAACCTGTGTCCCCTGCATCGGCAGGCGGACTCTCAACCACTGTGCCACCAGGGAAGCCCAATAAGCTTTAATTTTGAAGTAAGTTTAGAGTTACAGAGAAGTTGCAGAGTGTTTCCATATACCCTTCACCCAGTTTTTTCTAATGTCAGCATCTTATGCAACCTCAGTACATTTGTTAAAACTAAGAAATTAACATTCTACATTACGATTAACTAAACTCCAGACTTGACTCTCATTTCACCAGGTTTTCCACTAACGCCTCTTTTCTGTTCCAGGATCCAAATAACACTGTATTAGCTGTCAAGCTTCCTTAGTCTCTCTGACTTTACCAATTTCTCAGACTTCCCTTAGTTTTCTTCACCCTGACTGTTCTGAGAAGCAGTGGCGAGGTATTGTGTAGAATGTCCCTGAACTGGGTATGTCTGCTCTTTCCTCATGATCAGACTGGGATCATGGGTTTTTAGGAAGAGCCCAGAGGCGAAGCGAGTGTATACATAGCACCAACGTGACTTTTCCGCTGGTGATGTTAGATTTGATCACTTGGTTAAGGCAGTAACTGCCAGGTTTCACTACTTCCCCATTGCCATACTCTATTCTTTGGAAGTGAGTCACTAAGTCCAGTCTACACTTAAAAGGACAATTAAGTTACAGTCCCTGCACGGAGGAATATCTGTCCACATATTATTTGTAATTCTCCTTTGTAACAAGCGTTCCTTCTCCCCACTTATTTATTCAATCAACCATTTATATCACTATGGACTCAAGCACGTTTATTTAATATTATACTTTGTGTTACAATCCTGAAACTACACTTATAAAAGTATCACATTCTTAATGGCCCTTCATAAGCAAATGGGTATAACACAATTTGAAAAAGCAGTGCATAAAGGCACCGTAGAACTCTGTCATAGAGAGGTAGCAGGGACTCCTCCAGCCTGGCCACCCCTCTCTGCCTGGTGCAGGAGAGCATGCTACGCTGCCCCTGTGGGTGCCCTTTGCAGAGATGAAGTGTACACAGAGAAAAACTGCTAAGTTTACTAAATTGTAACCTAGTATTTCATCTCAACCCTCTGTAATCTTGTTTTTCAGTTACACTGCAGTTAAGTTATATGTGTTTTCTATGTGCTATTTAGTTTATATATATTTATATAATTTAGGTAAAGAATGATATATTTTAGAATATTTAACCTGTCCCCAAATCTGTAATATAAATGAGCCAAGACCTGAATTCTACATTTTGGGAGAAATTATCACCTAAATATGATAAGGATGACACACACACACCCCCGGGCACATATACATCCCCATGATTATCTTATGGCCTGTTCAAATTTTTCATCCTTACTAAAGATCCAAATAAATCATGATATACTTATCAAACATTTGAAATAAGACGTAATTAGTGTTTGTGGTTCCTAGTAGTGTTATAGGAAGAAAATTCTAAAAAAAAAAAAGAAAAAAGAAGAAAACTTGGGTAAACAGATTTTTAAAGCAAATTAAACTTCAAAACAAAAATTTTAAAGTGATAAAATTTGTAACTTAAGAGACTTTTTACAACCTTTAATGGCATAAACAAAGGATCCAGAAGTACTACACAATTTTAGTGCAGTGCCTGCGAACAAGGCAGGTCAGGAATTTTTAAAAAATCAAAATTCTTATGCTCTACAGTAGTGACCTTTTTATCTGGAGTTTTTGGTCCACAGTTAGAGGTACATGAGAATAATCAAACTCCGTAAAACTGCATGCAAGATTATGTGAATATACTCATTTTCTGTGAAGGGGATTATTAGATTCCTCAAAGAGAACTGTTGCTTCCAAAAAGTTAAGAACCACTGCTCTGCAGTGTTTCCCTGCACTGTGAACACTGATATCTAAAGAAGTCCACAACCCCAGCACCCCCCTCACCAGAGGGTCAGACCAGGGAGAACCATGCCACCAACTCTCCTCTGTGGGTGTGCAGCTTTTACATAAAATCCAAAAAGCTTCTTAATAATAAGCTGTTAAAACACAACCTGTTTACGAGTGAACTTTGTATTATTCATATATTCAAGGACCTGGGTCAACAGATTAGAGTTGGACGTTTTTGCAATGTAGAGAAACTGAGGAGAATTCAGAGAAAGGCAAAAGAAGGCGAAAGAGAAAGAGAAAGAGAAAGAGACCACTTGAAGAAACATTGTGAATAAGTTATAAGAAGGTGACTATTAAGTTATTTAAGTAAAAACAATCTGGGAGGGCTTCCCTGGTGGCGCAGTGGTTGAGAGTCCGCCTGCCGAGGCAGGGGACACGGGTTTGTGCCCCGGTCCGGGAAGATCCCACATGCCGCGGAGCAGCTGGGCACGTGTGCCATGGCCGCTGAGCCTGCGCGTCCGGAGCCTATGCTCCGCAACGGGAGAGGCCACAACAGTGAGAGGCCCGCGTACCAAAAAAAAAAAAAAAAGAAAGAAAACAATCTGGGAAACACTGAACAGTTTGTGATGATCATGGAAAGCCAATACATAGATGAAAGTAAGATTAATTTGGGTTATTCAAAGCTGGAACGTTTGGTCCTATTTTCCACTGCTCTCCCCAGTAGTTTCTAATCTTCTTGTGAGTATAAGACCTGTGGGGGGGAAAAGGTACTATTATGCTGTATCTCAGAGAAAACTATACGAAATAACAGAAAGATACTGCTCAGATTTAACAGAAGTTGACATTTTTCTATATTTGCTTTCTCTCTTTTCAAAGAATAAAGCTTTTCAGATACAGATTTTTAAGTCCTACTCCTCTCATCCTTTTTCCTATCTCACCATACCCAGACACAGCAGTTTGTAAAATGTCCATACTTGTTCTAGCCTTCCACAATGGACTCTACTTTTAGCACAAAAAATACAGCCCCCACCCCAAAATTTGTATTTTACTTAGTATTCATTAACAACAAAAAGACAAGAACCTACAATGCATTGTGTAGTGTCCTTTAAAATAATTTGTATTATTAATCAATGATTTTTCAAATTTACACAGGAATCCTATTTGGGAAACACTGTTGATTCTGTCTACGGAAAAATATTACATAGATTCACATAACCCGACCCAACCACTGCAATTTCCAGTGGTTTCTCCTTCCACTGAGCTTTTGTAGAGTTTAGTGTCTAAAAAGGCTCGCCTGGTTAAATGATGCCTTATCTCAAATCACAGAGGAGCACATGGAAACCTGCATGGAAGACACGTGTAGATATAAATAAGGACTGAAAGAGATTTAAGATTTAATCCATAAGTGAACTGAAGTGGGATTTGCTTCCAAATAATACTGAGAAGGAGGGGGAGGAGAAGTACCTGAGAAACAACTGGTGATGAACTGAGACGTATTGAAGCTGGGTGTTGGGTATATGGGGCTTCATTATTCTGCTTCAGCTTGTACTTTAAAAATTCCCCTCTAGGGCTTCCCTGGTGGCGCAGTGGTTGAGAGTCTGCCTGCTGATGCAGGGGACACGGGTTCGTGCCCTGGTCTGGGAAGATCCCACATGCCACGGAGCAACTAAGCCCGTGCGCCACAACTACTGAGTCTGTGAGCCACAACTACTGAGACCACGTGTCTACAGCCCGTGCTCTGCAACAAGAGAAGCCACCGCAATGAGAAGCCCGCACACGGCAACGAAGAGTAGCCCCTGCTCGCCGCAACTAGAGAAAGCCCACATACAGCAACGAAGACCCTATGTGGCCAAAAATTAATTAATCAATTAATTTTTTTAAAAAAGTGAACCGCCAAAATTACTAAGAGCCAACACACTTCCTGGAACATTTACTTGCAAAGCAGAAACTACGTAAATGGTATAATTACATATTATTTGTGTCAAAGAGCAGTATCTGAAGTGCTATTTGAAATAACTTAGTTACCTATGTAAATTAAAACTGAACCAAGATTAGAAGCCAACATGTGACATGAGTAAACATATAACCTCCATCTAGGATGCTCTACGTTACAAGCTTTAAATCATTATTTCTATTTATTTTTCTTTTGGTAAGAAGAGAGGGGAATGCAATTTATGTGAAAAGAGAGGGGGTAGATGGTATAGATTTCAATGGACTTGTTAGGGAGAGCTTTGACAATCAGAAAAATTGGCATCTAAGAGGAAGCAAACATTTATGTTGTCAGCTAGTGGCATCATTCTGGGGAATGCATTTCCAATAATTGGATACAATGGGTGATAAGGACTAAGGTGGATGAGGGCAGCACTTAATGCTGTCTACTGGGTCACCCCCGAAGTCACTTGAGTTTACATTCTGCAAGTGCTAAAGAATGGTGAGGTCTAGGTGCTAAAATCTGATCTTATTAACACCGAGGGGATGAGAAAATGAGAGGTTTTCCCCAATCCTTGTGCCAGCCTCAAAAAACTTTTAATCTAAATTTTTACAGACTATGGCTACCCAGAACACCTGGACATAACCCTCAATCACTCTAATGCTTCTCTTTAGACTCAAATCCACAGGGATAAACCAGGTCACAACAACTCATGTGAAAAAAAATTAGAAGAACAAAAGAAATGACCCACTTCTTAACCTGTCATAAAGGACTTTAAATTCTGGTAGAGTCATTATATAATTCTAACTCTCACTTAATAACGTTTCCTGAACAAACAAAACAGTATAAGAAGCATCTTCTTACAGCCATAAGGCTCGCTGGGAAGAAGGCAATGAGTCAACTCCGGTTTGTGTCCTTCTTGGATGGGGATCAAGTAAGAAGAGCGTTCTCCTAGAGAGTATCCTGGAATGGGGGCCGTCCTTTGACAGAGTGTTTTGTATTTACAGTTTGAAATACTCTTTGGAGAGTTAGGCACACTTAAAAAGGAAGAGGAAAGGCAATTAATATTTACTGAGCACTCACTATGTACACTAGGAGTCACCACATCTGCTCCTCACAGCCGTACTGTAACACAGATATTACCATCTCCAGTTTGCAGATGAGAGAAACTTGATTCAATGTTAGTAACCTGCCCAAGGCGACTAAGCCAAGAAGTGGCAGAAACAGGATCTGACCCAAACCGAATGGTAAAGCTCATTCTTCTCACTACAAACTGTGTGGACTAAAAGAAGTGGACGCCTGAGGATCTCTTTCATAGAATTTAAAAACTAAAAGACAATAAAAAAGGGAAGACAAAAAAGAAGAGTTTACATTCTATATAGGGAAAAAATATTTCCAAATGTCTATTTGCAGAGATCTCTTAACAACTACTCCTCTTTGAAAAGGGGAAAGCATCCTACAGGGCTTATGTGTACATACTGGGCATATGAAAAGAAAAAATTTACACTTACCATTGGTAGACAATAAAAACTGAGCAGCATTTTTCTGGGGTAACCACCTAATTTTGTTGATCTTTTCTTCTATTTCTAAACTTTTCAAGTAGTCAAACTCTGGTTCATGGCTCTGAAAGGTGCTGTAAACATTATATTCTCCTCTGCTATGAGACTGGATTTTGTTCTAAAATGGAAACAAAAATATTTGGACCAGTTGAGAAATATTTCAAATTAATCAAACATATAATCAATTCCAACAGACCCTGAATCTTATATACATTATATTGTTTTTTATATTTAAAGGCTTTCAAGGAATAAATACAAATGCTTAAAAGAAAAAAAAGGAAAAGCTAAATAAAGCCTAATAATTAGGCCCGATTCATGAGGAAAAGTGTTATTAAAATACAGATCATTTTGCTGATTACCTTTGTATATGACATAGTACAGAGGACTACTGAGCATACATGACAAAAAGTAAAGATTAAATAAGAAAAGCTCATCAGGAACAGCTGGCTGAGGCACACCTTCTTTCTCTGCCCACTGTTTTAAGGATCAATTCTCTATCTGTTACTTAACGTGATGTATTGTCCTCTTCCTTTCCCTTTCTCATGCCTGCCTTTAGGTCAGTTCACTGCTGAAAAACTCTTTAAGAGAAGAGCTCTCATAAATGCAACAGCACATCTGACCACGACCCCCGCCCCCCACCCAAGACTAGAGTTACAGGGCTCTATTACCTACTGAGCCCACATTCAGCAATACCCAGCAGGCCTCACCCCATCAACAACTGCGTACCCTCCTTTAATTATCTTTCTTATATTATGAGCCTAGCACGCACCAACGATTTATTTCACTTAGTATCAGTGAATATAATGTAAGCTATTGGATAAAGAGACTACCTGTGAACTTCTTCAGTTAACACTACCTTAGCAAAAATTAGAATTATAACCATGTTCAGAATTTTACCTTTTAATCCATCATCACATAATCAAAAACCTTTCCACCAAAAACATTAAATGTCTAGTTCAAAAAACCAATGGAAGAATAGTTTAAAAGATATTATTTATAATAAACTGTTTTAAGTAAAAGTGAATTAGCAAATGAAACGTTTAAGATTACTTGATAATAAGAATGACCTGTTAGTCACTATTATTATTTCTCCTTATAAAAAGAAAACTTTATTGAATCATCATCTTGTAAGTGTATGTTTTGGGTTGTTTTTTTCCAGTAGCTTGATTATCTGGATCGATCATTCATGGTTACAGTTGTATGTGGGTCCTCTGACAGCAGTATCAATTATTACTGAGTGGGTTTGCCAATACTGAGAATGCAGAGCATACCATAGAACATAATCCACACTGGGGATATGGAAAGGGTAAAAATCAAACTCAGAACCTTGGTCTCATTACCATACTCTTACACCACATCTGATAACCTAACCCATTTAATGTGTACATGCTAATATCTCACCAGAAGAAATTCTGTAAGTCTTCCATTGAAAGTTACTCAGTCTCTAAACGTTTGTCATGTTACTCTCCAAAAAAAGCTACAATATAATGCAGTGTTTTTAACTTAAGCTAGAGACTACAGTACTATGTACACTAGGTCCCAGAGGTACAGAGAAATTTAATAACACAGAATCTCTAACTTCTGGTAACTTGTGTGTGTGAAACTTTAGTCAAAAGTAGAAATTAAGGTCCATATAATTCAGGTAAGCAAAACAAAGAGCCAAGGTAAGCAAGGCCAAGGTATATGCAGAAACTAGGTTTCTCAGGGTCTGTATTTGATGATAAGGAAAAGAAAAGCACAACCATATAAAAATATTTTCTACAACAGAAAAATAACATCATCCTTAAGACTCAAGAATAACCAAATGTGTCTAAACATGATCTATTACATGATTCAGAAACAAAATCATTGGAGGTGTTTGGCCGTCTCAATGGATTGCAAGAAGCACTGTTTCTTTCCGACAGGGAAAAAAAAAAAAAAAAAAATATATATATATATATATATATATATATACACACACACACACCACACAAGGAGAAAGTTACAGCTGACAAGTTAAAGATACATGACGCATGTGCACTCTCTCCTGAAACTATGCTAAAATTACAGTGAATTTTTAAAGACAATGGATAAGAACAAAAAAATAACAGGAGAGATGACAGCAGCAGTAACAAATGAAAGATGTCATAAAACAGATGCCATAAAACAATGACCGACTTAACGAACTGCAGAGCCGGACCCTAGCAGACAGTGGGATTTTCCCTAAAACATGGGCAGGGGTGTTTACATTATAATGGTTACGACAGCACTGTTCTCTGCATGAACTAAGTACACTGAGCAAACGAAAAAAAGGAGCATAATCCCATGTCCTCCAACACTGTGCCACTCGAACAAGAATGCATCAAAGTCAAAGAAGGCTATTTTATTTTTGTTTTAAAAACTCACCTACAATCAGAGAGAATCATGATACATTCTAGAATGCTTCAATATTTGGGTTTTTCTTGCACAGCTTTCCAGAGTCTATTTTCTTAACCACACAATCTATTTATGTGAAATCTTCTTAATGAATTTAGAAACGCTTCATCCCAACACCTGTAATAGTATCTGGCATATAACAGGCATTCAATAAAAATTTTCTAAATGAACAAAACTAAAAGCAAAAAGAATGAATAAAAGGTGGCACTAGTATGGTAAAGGGAAGCTGGAATTAACCTGGCAAATGGAGTATGGTGCAGAAATTACGAAGAATGGGTTAGATGCACACACAGCAAGACAGAAGGTTCTCGGAAACACAGCTCTTAGTGATAAAGTAGGACACAGAATGAGGTGCAAGACAGAGTATTCTTCACATACATTAAAAAAACACAGTCCACAAAAACAAAATCACATACTTCAACATGGACACAAACAGAAGCCACAAATACATAAAGGATACTATATCATAATCAAGTTTTAAAGCCACAATGAAGACAGTGTGGTGCTCACACGAGAACTGACAAATATACCAATGGAATAGAACAGATGGCCCAGAAACAGGCCTGAATTTGGACAAAAGTGGCACTGCTGAGCCAGGATGGTCTTCTCACTAAATAGTTTTTGGTTAATTGGCTATTCATATATAATAAAACAAACCCTGACCCCTACTACACCTCAAGCCACTCATGTAAACTGATTCCAGGTGAATCAGAAATATAAATGTGAATATGTCTAGTACAACACTGTCCAAGAGAGCTTTCCGCAAATAGCCTGTATCTGTGCTGTCCAATATGGTAGCCACCAGCCACATGTGGTTACTGAGCACCTGAAATGTAGCTACTGTGACTAAGGAAGTGAACTTTAAATTTTACTTAATTTTAATTAATTAAAATTTAAATAGCCACAGGGATCTACTAACTACCATACTAGAGAGCACAGATCTAAAAGATAACAGAAATGCAGATCTTCCTGGACCTTGGGGTAGAGAAGTATTTCTTATACAGGACAGAAAAAGCAGTTAAGTCTAGAGAAAACATTGATAAACTGAATTATATTAATATTAATAACCTCTATTTGTCAAAAGATAGCATTCAGAAAAAATGAAAAGGTAAGTCACAGAATGGAAGATACTTCCAACAAATACAACTGACAAAGGGTTCATATGTTCAAAAAGTGCAAAAAGCCTACAAATCAATAAGAAAAATGACAAACAACCCAGCAGAAAACAAGTGCAAGAGATTTCAGTAGGCACTTCACAAAAGATGATATCCAATGGCCAATAAACACATAAAAAGATGCTGAACCTTGGCGTTAATCAAGAAAAGTACAAATTAAAACCACCATAAGATACCCTCATAACCTCCCAATGTTTAAATTTTAAAATTACTGACAATACAAAGCATTGGCAAAGATGTGGAACAGCCAGAATTTTCATATATTGTTCATGAGAATAAAATTGGCAGAACCACTTTTTACTGTGTTGTCTACTAAAACTAAATGCCTACCCCCCCATGACATGATAATTTCATGCATGACAATGTGCACCAAAAAATCTGCTCAAGAGTGTTCGCAGCAGCATTATTAAGCCATGAACTGAAACAACCATAACGTCTGCATCTATTTATAACAGAATGGACAAACTGTGGTACAGTTTTACAAAAGAACATTATATAGCAACGAAAGTGAGCAAATTATAACACAAACATAAACTGAGCAAAAAGGCCAGACATAAAATACTTACTGTAGATTCCATTTATAAAAAGTTCTATAACTACAAGCCAAACTAAGTGTTAGAAGACAGGCTTACAAGGGGAGGAAAGAGAAAGGAATGACTGGGAAGGGGAATGAGAAGGGTTAAAGGAAGGATGGGAAGTTCTGTGTGTGATAATCCACTAGTGTTTTGTGCACTTTTCTGTGTATATTTCAATACAGCTTTTAAAAAAATACAGCATAGAAACTGTGCAGCCACTTTGAAAACTGTATGGGCGTTCCTCAAAAAAGTAAAAAAATAGGGTTTCTCTGGTGACGCAGTGGTTAAGAATCCGCCTGCCAATGCAGGGGACACAGGTTCGAGCCCTGGTCCGGGAAGATCCCACCTGCCACGGAGCAACTAAGCCCGTGCACCACAACTACTGAAGCCCGTGCGCCTAGAGCCTGTGCTCTGCAACAAGAGAAGCCACCACAATGAGACGCCTGCACAATGGAACAAAGAGTAGCCCCCGCTCACCGCAAGTAGAGAAAGCCCGCACACAGCAACGAAGACCCACTGCAGCCAAAAATAAATAAATTTATTAAAAAAAAAAAAAAAGTACTTCCCTAGCGTTCCAGTGGTTAAGACTCCACGTTTCCACTGCAGGGGGCACAGGTTCGATCCCCTGTCAGGGAACTAAAATCCTGCATGCCACGAGGCACAGATGGGGAAAAAAAAAAAAGAACTACCATATAATCCAGCAATCTGGTATATATCCAAAATAATTGAAAACAGAATCTCAAATGAGATTATTCACAATAGCTAAGAAGTGGAAACAACCTAAATGTCCATCGACTGATAAATGAATAAAGAAAATGTGGTGCGTGTGTGTATAATATACATTTAATGGAATATTATTCAGCCTTAAAAAAAAAAAGGAACTCCTGCCATAGGCTACAACATGGATGAACCTTAAGGACATTATGCCAAGTGAAATAAGCCAGTCAAAAATG